TGGGATGGATTGGGGGAGGGGAGAGAGAGTTGTGACAAGGAAAACAAAGAATATAGTAGTCTAGATGAGAGTTGATGAAGGCCTGAATTATAGTGGTGGTTGTAGGTAGAGAGACAGAAATGGATGTAAGATGTTGAGGAGGTAGAAATGGAAAGATTTGCACTGATTGGAAAGCAGATACTGACTCAGCTGTTACCAACATAAGTAACTAGAATGTCGGTATACTTGACAGACAGAGAAGTTTACAAGGATCTAAGATGTCTCCAAAGGTCTCATGATAGAAAATGCTCTCCATATCCAAAGAATGAACTATGGAGTTTGAATACAGATCGAAGCATACCATTTGCCATTTTTTTCTTCTGTTTTGTTTCCTCTTTCTTGTGGTTCCTCCTGTTAGTTCTAATTTTTACTTACAACATCACTAATATAAAAATATGTTTAATAGGAATGTGTATGTATAACCTATATCAGATTGCACGGTGTCATGGGGAGATGGGGAGAAAAATTTAAAACTCAAAAGCTTATGGAAGTGATTGTTGATAAATCAAAATAAATAAAAAAATGAGGACACATCATAATCAGATCTAGATTTCAATTAAAAAAACTGAATAAATGGATGCTATTAAAAACTAAAAAAAAGTTTAGAAGAAAGGTGAGTTTTGGGAAAAAGATAATGAGCTCTGTTTTGGACATGATAAGTTTGAGATACCTCTATGGAACATCCAGTTGGAAATATCTAAAAGTTGATGGTGTGGGACTGCAGCTCAAGAGAGAAACGAGGGCCAAATATAAATCTGAGATTCGTTTGCATAATAGAGATCATTGGACCTGTAGGAGCTGATGAAGTCACTAATCAAAAAGCAGCTATTAAGCACTACCTATGCACTGTGCTAAGCACTAGGGATTTAGGAAAAATAAAAACAGTCAAGGCACTCACGTTCTTCTGTGAAAACTATCTTGCACAGAGCTTATCCCCACTATTAGGGGGCAAGACATAAATGATAAGTCAGCAAAATAAATGGAGAAGAGGCTATTGGACAGGTAGGAAGAGAACCGAGAGAGCTGTACTACAAAAACCCATAGAGGAGAGAGTGGTCAATAGTGAAGATTGAGAAAAGACCACCAGATTTGGTAGTTAATAGATCATTGGTAACTTGGGAAAGAAAAATTTCAAGTGAGTGAAATTGGAAACAACATATTTAAGAGTTAAATTGTTTTGAATTGTGTTTTATCAGACATTTATTAAATACCTACTATGCTGGGCACCGACGTCAATACCAAATTCCCTAATAGAACTTAAATTCTACTAGGGGTGCGACACACAGATAACTAAAATATGAAGTCCTAAGTGTTGTAAGTACATAAATGAGGTGCAACTAAATTATTTTAATGGGCTCTGATGAGGAAAAGGTCACAACCAAGGGAGAGTCAGAGAAAGCTCCGTGGAGGAAATGGCGTTCACATTGGATTTTAAAAGGTAGAAGGAATGGGGAATCAAGACAGTAGTCAAGTCAACAAGCATTTCTTATGCCTGCTGTGTGCCAGGCACTCTGCTGTGCACTGAGGGGACAAAAAAGGACAAAAAAATGTCCCTGCTCTCAAGGAGCTCATAGTCTTAATGATATAGCATAAACAAAAGGATGGAGATGGATAAGAGTGGAGTGTATATGGAAGCAGCCAGCAGACCAATTAGGCAAGATCATAGATGCAGAGAAGAGAATGTGAAACAAGTCCACCTAAAGGAAGAGTGGCACCAATTTAATTTGTGTAAAACCTTAAATATGAGGTTAAGGAGTTTAAACTTTACCAGGTTGGCAACAGGAAGTCACTGGAAAACTTCTGATCATCTTAGTCAAAACAATGGGAAACCAACAACATGCAGGAGTAAAACCTGGAAGTGTTATTAAATAACTTGTGCTGGGAAGATGGCTTAGTATTTACTAACTTTGGGAAAGTCACTTCTTTCTGATTCTAAATTTCTGAAATTCCAGCTTTACTTCTTGCATAAAGAGTGTTCATAATTACTTGATCTTAACTTTAAATTGAATAAAACTCTTCTTGGGATTGGGATGGGACAACTTTTGTGCTGACAGCCTCTTTCATAGGAATGTAGTTGAGGACTAGAATGAACCTTAGGGGTCAGCCAGTCAGTCCTTTTCACTTTACAGGTAAGGAAACAGGCCAAAAGATGTCATGAGGCTTGCCAAGATCATACAGGTACTAAGTAGTAGAGGGAGAATTAAAACCCAGGTTCTGTGATTCCAAATCCAGTTTTCTTTTCACTGTGCTATACTATCTCTGTAGTTACACATAATTTAGATCCACTTATATTTTGTTTCTCTGCAGACACAGGGTTCCTTAAGAAATTTAAAAAATTAAAGATCAAAGATAAGCTCCCTAGAGTACTGGTTACTTTTTAAAAAAATATGTGACTCTATTACAGTGCTATTCAGAATGAAAGGAATAGCCTTTGAAAGGAGAAGTGGCCTTTTTCTCATCCTCTCTTTTTAAAGGTAATGCTTTGGCAGTGTCATCTTCTGTGTTGGAGAATTAGGGCCTGACATCAGAGTATAATGGAATATTGGGAGTCAAAAGACTTGAGTCGGAATACCCACTGTCATGTAACGACAAGGGCAAAGTTGCTTCACCTCTATTTTTAGGGGATAACACTTGATCCACCTACTTTCACTGGGTATATTATAAAGAGAGAACTTGATAATTCTCTAAACCCTATAGCTGTTGAAATTGTTATTATGCACTGCTCAGTTCTTTCCCTGATAAGGAGTCATAATTAGGCATAGTTTCAGAGACTCAGATCTGGAAGAAATTAAAATCACTTAGTTCAGCCTCTTTATAAATAAGGAAATTGAGGCATAAAGGGATGGGGAACTGCAAGAGCTGAGGCATAGAAGTAGGAAAATATAAAATGTATTTAAGTGACGAACATCACCATAGCATCATAGATTTAGAACTGAAAGGAGGCCATCTATCCCCTCATTTCTGGATGGGGAAACAGACCCAGAGAGGTAAAGTGACTTGAGAGTGGTCACACGGGTTGTGACAGAGGCAGGACTTGAACCCAGGTGCTGTAACTCCAAATTCAGTCTGGCTGTGGCATAGTGTGTAGAGAGATGATATGGAAGTTGTGAGCAGTATAAAGAGTTAGAGCTGGAAAGGTAGAGGCCACACTGTGAAAGGGGCTGAATCTAATCTGGCAACAGTTTGTGACATGAATGGAAGGGAAAAGAAACTAGAGGCAAAAGGCTAGTTATACAGATGTTATAATAAGTTTGGATGATGTGATTATCAGGGGCATAATAGAGGTGAATAAATGAAAAAAAAAACCTTCAGTAAGCACTTAACTGTTTGCCAAGAGCTGTGATGTAGAACTGGTGACACACAATTTTTTGCGGTAGAAAAAACAAGACAGCCCCTATTCTCAGGCTCACACTCCATGTAGGAGAGACAACACATAAAACACCTGCAGGGTGAATGGAAAAGGCCAGAAGTCATAAGAATGTTATGGTGCAAGAGATGGCAAGACCCAGGGGTCCTGGAGGTTCAACATTGGGGTGCATAGCAAGGATCTGGGTTCTTAATGTGCATTAGCAGGTTGTTTGGCAAGGCTCAGGTGACCTGAAGGGTTTAGCATTGGGATAAATGGCAAGGCCCCAGGTCCTTAAGGTGCATCAGCAGATTGGATGGTAGTACCTAGTGGCTGTAGAGGGAGGGCAAAAAGAAAGGTCTTTAGAATTCATTAGCAGGGCAGGTGATTAGGTCTAGCAATCACTTAAAGGATAGTAAGTAGTTGGTGACTTGTAGCTAACCCAAGCAGAATGAAAGTTTGCAAGATAAGAATCCGTAGAAGTTGATGACTCTGTGAATGTCACTCTATTAGCCAAGGTGGGAGGTAAGGGTTGTGGGGGTGGGGTGGGATGGGGGCATTAAACTAAGGGCAAAGACAAAAAATTAGAATTGTACAGTTACCTGGAGTAAGAAAATAGAGACCATCTACCATGCTGTCTTATGCCCTGCGTTTTACAGCCTCTGGTTAAGAGGTAGCTCATCTTGCCAAGACTGGCCCTTCAGTCTCTTCTGGGAGCTTTTCTTGTGTCTCCTCCTCATCTCTCCATTATTTACTAGTTCCTTCTCTGCTGTATTATAGATATGTCCAGGCCACCCCATCTTTAAAAAGAACCTTCACTAGACTGTCATCCTATAGGCTCTTCTTTTCACAGCTAAGCTCCTTAAAAGAATCACTTACCCTTGTTTCTTAACCTCATCTCCCATTCCTCAACTCTTTGCAGTTTGGTTTCCAATCCTACTTCCTCACTGAAACTGCTCTCTTTAAGATTATAAATAGTCCTTTAATTCTTAAATCCTTTTGACTTATTTATCAGTCCTCATCCTTGAATCTTTCAGCAGCTTTTAATATAGTTGACCACTCCTTTCTCCTTCACCTAGCTTTCATAAACAGTACTTATTCCTGTTTTTTTTGTCTTTTGAATGTCATTTCTTTGTAGTACAATATCTAACAGCTCTCACCTTCTTTCTCATTCTGTATGTCTCAACTCTAACGTCTTATGGAATGTATTTCTTGCATCAGATGAATGGTTGGATTACATGATCTTTAAAGTCCCTTTCAGCTCTAAGGTTCTTTGAAAGTATGGAAGATTGGGGAAAGGGAGGATTGCAGTGATCCCAACGTTTTGAATATACATAACTATAAGAATGGTGGTCTTATTAATCAGGAGGAGAAAACAGATTGGTGGGGAGGAGGACAATGAGTTCAGTTTTGGAAATGTTGAATTTAAGGTGTCAGCGGCTTTTATAGGTAGAATTTCAGGTCCAGAAATCTGGTTAAGTATAGATCTATTGAGTGGAGAATCCTCTTCGTGGATGTGATCATTGAAGACATAGGAGTAGCTGAGGTCAACAAGGGAGAAAATGTAAAGAAAGAAGAGACACTGAAATAGATTATTTTTTCCCTCTCCTTCCAGAGGTTGCCAAACCAAAGCCACGTCATGCCATGAAGCGGAAAAGGACGGCTGATAAGTCCACGAGCACCAGTGATCCTGTTATCGAGGATGATCATGTGCAGGTGACATCCCTTTCTTTTTTGGATTAAAGTAATCAAAAGAATGTTTTTTCTCGTGCAATAGAAGCTGAGTTACATTGCACACTCATGAGAACGTAGCTATATAATTTCTTTGTCTTGCAGTGAAAATATAAGCAGGATGTAGTAGAAAGAATACTAAATTTGTAATCGTAGGATCACAGATTGTGGAGGACCTTGGATGCTCTTTGGGCTAATGTATCCTATATGTAATTATTCCTTCAGTGCCCTTTTGGCTTGAAGGTGACTCTGGGTTCTCCAAGGCTTTAGTAGAAAGCAAAATCTGGCAGCTCCTACTAAGCTGGAAGGTACTAGAAATGCAAACACATGATAATGTACCTGTTGCCTAAAAACTAATGAAAGTCAGTTCAAAGAGGCTCATTATTAGAAGGATGACCATTGGATAGTGATTTTTTTTCTAGTCACAACAACTCACAGAAACTGTATGCCAAGGCATGGCACGTAACCCCCTCGGGTTATACATGTCAATGAAGGTAGTAAACACAATAAAAAATAGTCATGGGGCTTTGAAGTATTTGTTAAAATCTCACATATAGCGTGGCCTCTTTTGGAGGGTTAGTGAGTGCCAGGTACAGAAATATGGTGAGTAAGATGGAGTTTAGGAGAGGATTTGTAGTGTAGGGAGCACCTGAGGAAGGAAAGGAAGAACTTCAGCCGCTGAAGATGGGTGTTAAGAGCTCTGTTCCAGGTATGGAGGATATCTTGAACATAGACTAGAGAAGGCAAGATAAGAATAGGAGATGGAGAGCAGTCTCTTTAGTTCGAAACCTTAAATATAGAAAAGGAGAATAATATGAGAAAACACTCAAAAGAAGTAGTTTGGAGCCAGATGGTGGAGGGCTGATCAAATGCCAGCATCAATTTGTTCTTAATCATTAGGCATTGGGGAGCCGCTGTAGGTTTTCAGATAGAGGAGTGACAACGATCAGGCTTGTTGTTTGTCCTCCACACTTGAAGAGGTCCATGACATCAGGAAATTGGTGCCATGACTTACAAGGGAATTGTATTTAAGTAAGGGAGGGCTGCACAAAGTCACCAGCCTCACCTTCTCCTCCAGAGCCATCTGGGTCCAGTGACCAGATATAGATCAGGACGACTGGAGATGGCCCTGGATACAGAGGGAGCCCTTGGCCTTTTTAAGCTAAGGTCTGTCCCAGGCCTTAGCTTGACTGAGGCAACCCCATTCAGTGATTAAGGCTGGGTAAGAAATAAGGCAAAGAATGGCCTTTTTTAACTAGTAAAAAAAAAAAATCAACCTAGGAGGGGAAGACCCTCAGGGTTTCTGGCCAAAAGAGAAACAATTACTATTTACATTCACTCATCAGGGCCCAAACGGTGACCAAGGGGGCCTGGGTTGGGACCTGTTGTTGGCCAATCAGTGGGAGCCAGAGTGATTTGGGTTTAAGGCATGGTCCTTAAAAAAGAAATCTAGCCTGTGAACTCCAAGATATTTTGCAGGGTTTCAGCAGTCAAAATTTATATTCCTTTGGGCAGAGCAGCTGCGCATGATTCCCCATGTGGACAGAGGGAGAGGAGGGAGAGGATAGGACAGGATCTGTGTGGCCCAATTAGAACTGGCCAGTTCGGTCCCCACTATGGCAGCTGCATACAATTCACTGCTTGTTTATCCTTCGTTCTTGAAGAGGACCATCGCCAAGGTGATGCCTTGTTTTGCAAGTGAATTGGATTTAAGTGAGGGAGGGCTGTGCAAAGTCACCAGCCTTGCTTTCTCCTCAGATCCATCTGGGTCCAGTGGCAAGATATAGATCAGGATGACTGAAGATGGTCCCCACAGTGATCGGGGAGTGCATTAGAAATAGTTACTGTGAAAGCTTTCTGAAAAAATGTGATCAGAGTTGGGAGAATCTGGTTAGAGAAAGACTGTTTAGGAGGCTTTTAGAACAGTCCAGTTGATAAAAGATAAGGTCTGAACTAGAGTTGTGGCAATGATATTGGAAGAGAGAACACTGGATAGTTATTTGGGTGGTGGAACCAACAAAACTGGACTACTCTTTGGATGTGGTGGGAAAGGGAGGAGACAAAAGTGATTCTAGGGTTATAAGGAAACATAGTATTTTTAAAAATAATACTGAATAATAAATTGGAATTTAAATTTGCTTTGTATCAATTTTGTTCTTTGTTATCAACAGGTTCTTGTCTTGAAATCCAAAAATCTTGTTGGAATCACATTGACCAACTGTGGAATCACAGATCTAGTACTAAAAGATTGTCCTAAGATGATGTTCATTCATGGTAGGTGTTTATATCTAAGGTCTGGAATACTTGCTCTGTTAGCTCCAAGAGCTCATACATACATATGTACATACATATGTATGTACATACATACACGTATTAGATCATTATGTTATCAACATGAGCATCTTTTAAAAGTCAATTCTCATGTGCATGATTGATTATTAAATAGTCAAGGTAGTATTTCAGCATAGGGACAGAGAGTGTATAGTTATAGCCGTTGCTAATTGATTAGGTTCTGGATTTTGTCATAAGGGGGGAAAAACTTCTGGCACCTCCTTTTGCATATAGGTGATTCCGTACCTGAGGAATATCTTTCCAAACTCTACCAGAGAGTTATCATGGCTTCCCGTCATTCCTAATCACATCTTTGTGCCTAGAGTGGTTCTTTGTTAGTGATTATGTTGGGGCTCGTGTGCAGAAATTTTCCTGTCATACCTATGGAGAATCATAAGGTCTTTTTATGATTACCTCAAATAGTGTAACTGTATGAATGAAATTTAAATTGTTTTTTATGTTTGTGATTAGCATAATAAATAAAATAGCACATCTCTTTGGAAGGTAATAATGATAATAAAGTTCTACTTGAAATCTTCCACCACTTTTTGATCATGTGGTTTAAAAAAAAAAAAACAAGATCCTTTGTTCTCAAAGGCTGTACCAGCTGAGCACCAGCTCCATTAGGGCTTACCAAATGTATGGGCCTGGCAACAGACTATATGGACTAGGTGATCTTTAAGGTTTCTTTTAGCCTTCTGATCCTGTGATCCCAAGTCTGGTGGGTTTTTCCCTATGATCATATTTAGATGTACTTGTAGACTAGCCTAATGGAAACAGGATGGCCACGTGAGCAACTTCTTGTTCTTGTCTCCTATTATTATCATCTTCTTTATTTGTGTAAGAATTTACGTAAACCTGCAGTAAGGCCAGAGAAGAGATCATAGTATTATAAAAGTTGTAAGTATTCTTAGTAATCTAGTCCAGCCTTTCATCCATGCTCTAGAATCCCCTCATTAAGTACCTTTGACCAGAGATCAGGTTTGAAAACTTCATTGATTAGGTAGTCATGACCTCCAGAGGCAATCCATCCTTGTTTTATATAGATCTGATTTGTAAATGCTCATCCCTTAACATTGTCCTCCCCACTTCCCCATAATTTCCAGCTGTAGTCTTAATTATGTCTTAGAGCGATATAAAATAAATTATATCTCTCTTAGGCTTCTTTACCCATGAGGTAAAGCCTTATGTATAAATCCAAGGGGATAAGTAGGAGGTGAACATAAGCACAAATGCTTCTACACAGGGGCTCACCAGCGTTTATTAAATACCTACCATATGCATAATGTAAGACATTATGATGTAGTGCATAGAGGACCATCTCTGGAATCAGGAAGACCTGGGTTCAAGTACTGCCTCTGATGTATACTGGCTATGTGATACAGGGCTACTTCTCCAAGTTGGCACTAAACTTTTTTTTTGCAATTTGGGAGATAGGAGGGTATGACTACTTTCATAAGTTCTACAGGTACTCTTTGAGTCTTTACTTTTAAAACGATAGCTTAAAAGCCCGCAGCAGTGAGATTACCTTTAATAGTCAGATAGTGGGTATAGCCCAAAGCAAAGACATTTACTAAAATAGCATAGTAACAACAGTAGCTACAAAATATTTTCCCACATAAAGTGGAGTTCAGTCTTTCACACTAGAGCATTTGTAGAAAAAGTAGACAAGACCTAGAGTGCATGAATACTGAGGCACACTTTCAGGGAACTCATTTGGCCATGGCAACTCAGAATTCTGATACTTCAGGGCAATAATATCCTGGTTCTTGTGATATCTTTGTGCTGCTCTTCCTCTTCCTGACTGGCACGACACTAACTGGCAGGCTTAGCTTTTTAAAGGCTACAAAGGTTGTAGCCAGTCTTCTGCTAGCCAGTGTTTGGTCAGAGAAAAATGTTTACACTATAAAAACATAAGAGCGTAGACATGTTTTTGCCCTTAGTTTAACCAAGTAATACCATTACTTCTGTTATCTGCCCTTTTCTCTGATTATATCAAGTAGACTGGGTTGGAAATAGACTCTCCTCTTCCCTACCCTCTTACTATATAATAACAGGTCCCTCTATGAAGTAAGGGCTCAGCATCATTTGTTAAATGCCAACTCTATCCATATTATGAGGTTCCATATTATAGTTCATGGAGGACCAACTTTGGAGTCAGGAAGACCTAGATTCTGATTCTGTCTCTGTCATATACTAGCTGTGTGAGGCTAGGCAAGTCACTTAACCCTTAGTCCTTAAGTCTCAGTGTTGGAAGGGACCTCAGAGGCTGTCAGGAACAGTCTGAGCAGGCGTCTCTTCAATAACCAATGAGTGTGATGATAATAGATCATAGAAATTGAGCTGGAAGGAACCTTAGAGGCCATCTTCTCCAACCAGTTGTTTTACAGATGAAGCAACTGAGGCCTAGCAGTCAAATGATTTGCCCACATCAAAGGACATGTAAGGCCTAAAGGTCATGTAAGTAGCAGAGCCCGAATTTGAGCCCAGGTTCTCCTGTTGCAAATCCAGCACACTTTGTACTACACTGTACTGCCTCTGAGTTCATCTTAGTCTAAAAAAATTGGCTAGTCTTCAGAATGAGTCAAAACAAGCCATGTTTCTGTGTTACTTTGGTTATATTGCTGGGACTTTAGAACTTTATGTTTTCTTTTGTAGCTACAAGATGTCGAGTACTGAAGCACTTGAAAGTTGAAAATGCACCAATTGTGAACCGATTTGACTACGCGCAGTGCAAGAAACTGAACATGGATCAGGTACTAGATCAAATCCTAAGGATGCCTGCAGAAAGAAATAGGATCATATACCTTCGCCCAATGCAACAGGTAGTGCTGACTGTACTTTTGATTAATGAGGTTGCTTTTTGATCACCCCACTCCTATACATTCACTTTTTAGATCTTTGTATTTATACTATCCCCCCACATATTTTTCTTAAGAATGAACCCTGGAGTCCTTTATTAAAGCTACCACAGTAGAATTTTTCTAAACACTTAGAGTTCAGCCAGGCAGATAAAGATTGGCACTGTTGCTCACCCTCTTTCCCTGTCACTTAGACTGTTGCAGAAGTCTAACTTGTCTCTTTTTCTTCGTTCTCTTTCCTTTAATTTATCTTGAACTTGTTGCCAGATGGGTCTTGGTGGTACAAAGTTGAGACACAGAGAGAGAGAGAAAGAGAGAGAGAGTATATGTATGTGTGTATATCACTGCTCAAAGGCTTTCTAAGGATCCTTTTTGGTTTCTAAACAAAGATGAAGTCAGATTTAGAACTGGAATGAATCTCGGAAGTCCAGTCCCTCATTTTTCAGATGAGGACACCAGGCCCCAGAAAGATTAAGTGGCATTCCCAAGGCTACACAAAATAGTAAGTGGCAGAGGTCAGATTTGAACACAGGGACTAATATCCAGGGTCCTTCAGTATCTGGCTTTAACCTACTTTTCCAACTTTGTCTCCTGCTTTCCTCCTCACCTATTCTACGTCCTAGCCAAAAATGATCTACTTGCCATCCTTGCACCCATTCCATAATTTCCCATCTCTGTACTTTTATTCATACTCTGCCCTATACCTCTAATCCCTTCTTCATCTGTTACCCAAAGAAGTAGGTAGTTAGCTCTGTTTTTGCTTAATGGTGTTTCATTTTGATCATTCCACCCTCCTACATTCACCTTTTAGATCTTAGCCTGTAGAGTTTCTACCCGTCCTTCAAGGCCCAGCTCAAATGCTACCTCTTCCAGAAAGCCTTTCCTTTTCCCCCTCATCTGAAAGTGATTTCTTCATCTCATAGCACTTTTTGCTTCTCTTGTACTTTTTTCATATGTCAGTGGGTCTGTGATTTCATTGATGTAGGTGTTAACCTCCCGTGGTGCAAATTACAGTCCATCCATGCCTTCTCATCCTGTCCAACTCTTACTCATGCCATCCCACCATGAATTCCCTACCTGCAACATGTTGGGGAACTTCCCCAAAATTTCTTCACATTTCGTGGATACTCGAAGTGCCTGTGGGCGGTCTGTCTGTTATCTCTCACTCTCACCATGTGTCTAGCCCACCTCCTTTTCCAGTCCTTTGTCTCTCAGATGACGATGCCCTTTATGCTGCCTCTGCACAGTTCTTTCAGTAATAAGATGCAGCCTATTCATGCGTGTCATATATTTTAGCATATTTGAGCATGTGAGTTACATATTCCCCCTACTATATTTTGTAGCTTCTTAAGGACTGAGGCTGTCTTTGTTCCTCTTTTTATATCACCTATCAACTTAAACCAATGCATTTACACATAGTAGGTCCATAATAAGAAGCCATTTATTTGAATGAATAATAGACATTTACTGTTTATAAACATTATGTGCCAAATACTGTGCTTGATATTAAGGAGGAAATAAGTTAAAGACATAATCTGCTTCTAACAAGCTTACAGTCTAAAGGTAAGAGTATGCGCCATAGAATTTAGGACTGGAAGAGATCTTAGAGGTAGTCTAGTCCAGTCCTTTAATTTTACAGATTAGCAGACTGAGGCTCAGAAAGATGCCCTTTGCATCAGGTCACAAGAGTAGCTAACCAACCTCTTCTTCTAGTCCAGGGCTCTTTCCACTACACCATGTTGCCTCCTAATAAGAGCCTAAATTTCTCTAGCTGAACAAAGCGCCTTCCTCACAGCAACCCTATGAAGTACAGATGGTAAGTGGTATTATTCCCACTTTACAGCTGAGTAAGTTGTAAGATTCAGAGAAAGCAGGTGATATTTCCACACCCGTACAGCTAGTTAAGTGACAGTGCCCAGGTTAGAACCAAAGGGCTGTCCTGTATTCACAGCCTGTCGCTGAGGCGTAATTCTGCTGTTCCTTTGGCTCTCCCTTCCTGACCCATCTTGGCTCTGAGCCCTCCATCTGTATCCTTCCCCTTAGGTCGACACACTGACTTTGGAACAGAAGATATTCAGCGGCCCTTATCCCTATCACATCTGTATCATTCACGAGTTCAGTAACCCTCCCAATGTGCGGAACAAAGTTCGCATTCGCAGTTGGATGGACACAATAGCAAACATCAATCAGTAAGTATCCATCTGCAGAGAGGCCTAGAGAGGCCTGAAGACCTTCCTGCTTTTGAGAAGCAGTGCCCACAGGTGACTCTCAGATGCTACGATAATCATAGGCCAATGAGATAGTCCAGTTAATGGGACAGGACCCTCAGTGGTCACTTAATCCAGTCCCTTCATTTTGTAACTGAGGAAACAGGCCCAGAGAAGTTGCCCAAAGCCACACAAATAGCCATTGTCAGAGCCAGGCTTCAAACCTAGGCCCTGTTACTCTAAAGCCAGCCTTCTTTCTGTGAACCACTCTGCCTCTGTGTTTCTGTGGGAGGACACTCACCTGAAGCCTCTTAAGCGTAAGTGACAGGGAGTGATTTTTTTTCAACTTAGAATGAAAAGTGATGAAACCTGCAGGCAGCCATCTTATTTTCATAGCTGTCCCTGAGCCAGTCATGAACAGGACTCAGTCAGTACCTAAAGAACTCTATCCTACTTTGCTTCTTTCTTGAATTAATAACTCACATTTCTGTAGTACTTTTAAGGTTCATAAAAACGCTTTCCTTACAACTCTGTGGGGTGGGTTTTTCAGGTGTTATTATCCCTATCACCCATAGCTAATAAGTGTTGGGGCCAGGACTTGGACCATGTCTTTTGACTAGAAAATCACTTCTTTTTCCATGATACTACATTGCCTCTTGACTTCTGCCTGTGTCAAGCCACTGCTTGATAGCCAAGACCACATTCTTAGAATTATGGGATGTCAGAATTGAAAGCGACCTTATAAATCATCTGGTCCATGAAACCAAGATATAGAGAGGTTGCATGACTTGCATGAAAGCCTCCGCGTTTGTCGTGTGATCACAGATCTTCACTACCACTTTGTTTCACCCTGTCCCTTAAGCACCCAGTCTTCTTTCATGTTCCCAGCCACACTGAGGTTTATGATAGAGGTGTTTACTTACAGAGAAAGAATAATTTGTAATCTGTGTGAGAGAAATATGAAGATCAGAGCATTCAACAGTTATTTGACCAATAGCAACTGAATAATGCTAAGCTTCTTAATTTAAACTTGTTTCTTACAACTGTCCCCATCAGAGATTCAGATGTGACCCTTATGGGCCCATGACTTCCACCACGTTTAAATCAAGAACTGCCATAAAAAGGAGTGTGCTAAAGCCAGCTCTTAACAAACTGATTGTTAAATTTTCAGCATGAGCATTTATGCTGGAAATCAGTAAGCACTTTGCTACAAATCAGGGCTTTAATCTATTCTTTTGTTAATTATCTAGTTTGAGAAAGAATTAGTAATACAGATTAAACTTAAAGGTGTTTGCATACAATTTTTTCTTCCTGTTATTAAAACATTTACCTGCATACCCCTGTATTGCTCTGTAAGCATTGCTTGAGCTCAGCAGAAGGCTAAGGAAATGAAGTCATCAGCAGGCTAAAGGCCTGATGACTCTAAGCTTTAACAATAATAATAATAATAGGATTAATAATAATAACTGCTATTTATATAGTGCTGTAAGGTTTGCAGAATGCTTTATATCTGTTATCTTATTTTAGCCTTGTGATACCCTTAACCATAAACCAAATGCTCCCTCAGTCTGATCCTAAACTTGGAATGGGGTATTTCTTCCAGGACTCCTGCCCTCGCCTAACCTCTAATTTGTCTAATAGATCATTGTCTACAGTAAATACCGTGTTCCTCAGTCAGTTAGTAGGAAGCACTGGTACCTGTATGACCCTGATACTTCCACATCCTCCTGTGCTCAGTAACTCCGTATCTTTCACAATAAATGCATAGAGAAAAGAGCTCATTTAGTTTAGAAATTTCTAACATTGTAATGTTTCTTACAAAGACCCAGAATATAGAGAGAGCCCTTGCTAATTTCTCTTCTTCTTAACCCTTAATAACAGCTCCCATTTTTAATGTGCTTTAAGACTTATGAGGCACTTTCTGTAAAATACATCAATGCCTTCCTGGGGTTATTATACCCTTTTTTTTTTTTAAAAAGGGAAGAAACTGAATTTCTGAGAAGTGAAGTGACTTGGCCAAGATCATATTAATGTGTGGGAGAGTCAGGATTTGAACCCAAGTCTCCTAACTTAAAGTCTAGCAGTCTTTCCACTTTAGGAGGCTTAGAATGTGCTTGCTGTGTGTGTATATAAATAGGTGCAGTGGAATCAGCCCTCTATCATAAGCGGTTTTCCCCTGAAATATTCTCATTTCTATAATTTATATTGTATTTTCCCCTTTGCCTGCAGGGAACTCATTAAGTATGAGTTTTTTCCTGAAGCCACACGAAGTGAAGGAGACCTAAAGAAGTATACCAAGTACCCTTGGGGAAGAGAGATTTATACTTTAGAAGGTAAGCATGAAATATTGGAGACCTGAAGAGTTGTTTGCACACACAAAAGAAAAATAGCCGTTTCCTTAAAAGACTGATCAAGTGCAGATGCTTGTTTAGATACATAGGCATTAAGCCAGCAATTAAGGTAAGCTTGGCAAAAAAACAGGAGTTTAGATTGATTCCATATCCCTGCCAATAGCAAGACATCAGGAATGATGACTGTTGGTCTGCTCACATACATTTCCATGAAGGAAGTTCACAGTAGTAGTCCTTTAACATAGTTTAAAAATTTAAGGACTGAACAAAACTGAGAATGCTAGAGTAAGGAAGAGATCATAGAATGTAGAATGATGAGAGCTAGAAAAGACCTTAGAGGACAGTCAAATGCACTCGTTTTATAAAAGAAGAAACTGAGGTCCAGAGGAAAAAGTCAGGGATTCCCCAAATCATATATTTAGCCTGTACCAGGAGCAGGAGTAGAACCCATATCTCCTGGTTATCAAGCTCAGTGATCCCTCCTCTCAACCATAGTGCTTCTTAGATGGTGAGTTAGTAGGGAGAACATACCTTAAATTCTCTTTAACCTGATAATCTTGTCATTTGCTCTGGAGAAATTGGCTTCCTGTATGTATCCTTGTTTTAGGTGTTGTGGATGGAGCCCCATATTCCATGATTACAGACTTCCCATGGCTGAGGTCACTACGGACAGCAGAGCCTAATAGCTATGCAAGATATGACTTTGAAGATGATGAAAGAAGTAATTACTGCTTGCTGTGTTCTGGTTTCATTGTACTTGATTGCTTTGAGACCTGTGATATTTTAGTTGAATGTTCTTCAGGAAAGTAACCTTTTGAAATTTTCTCAGATATTGAAGGATTTTTTTCCACACTTTCAAAAATGGCCCTTAATTTATATACAAAAGAGGAAACAGTTGACATAAAGAATTAATAGTTGCTGAGATTTCTCTGCAGTAGGGAATAGGTTTATTCTGCTTGAACGAAAGAGTAGAACTAAGAGCTGTAGGGAAAAGCTCCAGGAAGACAGATTTTTGGCTCACTACAAGGGGAACTTCCTAATGCACAAGGTATCCAGAAATGGAATGGATGGCCTCAGAAGACAGTGGGTTCTGCATCACTGGAGGGCTGCTTGTGGAGCCGATTAGAGAGGATTTCTGTTCAAGTGGGGCCTGAATTTTGAACCCTCTGTCACCTTTAGTTAGTTCTAAAGTGTTGTGATTTTGAGTTCTTCAGCTAAGTTTTCTGCTTCAGAACTTCATGTGGTACGAAAAGTAAAGCAGATACAATTTATAAATGACATATTTGATTATACTACTATTTGAAAATTTTTATTCTCTTAAGTTCTTAAGCTTAAAGAGGAATTGGTTTCATTGAAATTCACTCAAGTTACAAGAAGTTTATGGAAAATATTGATGGACTTGAGTTGAATCAAGGATCTCTTGATTATGTAGACTGCTTTATGAACTTACATATCCAGCCAAATGGTAATAAATATTCCTCAAAGATCATCTGGTCAAAGGAATATAGAATTCTAGACTCAGATCTAGAAGGGGCTTCAGAGGTCAGTCATCTAATCCAGTCCCCTCATTATTTAGCTTACGGTGCTGAGACCCAAAGAGGTCATGAGACTTTTGCAAGTGCAGATGGACAATAGCAAAGCCAGGAAGCAAACTCAGGGAGGACTTGAGTACTTTTGAATCTAAATATATTTCTGTTTGTGCTACGTAATGCTGCTTACTATTGTGCCTAACGTTGCATCTTCATAGAATCAGTTAATGATATTATCTGAGGCATACTGCTCTTGAGAGACTGTTTTATTTGCTTTTTTTTTGTTTTTGTGTTTGCTGTCATTTTCAACAAGGTATTCTGTCTGTGTAATAAGACTGCCTCCAAGAAGCCATATGCATAAACCAAAAACTGGGTTTTGAAATCATTCCAATAATCATGTCATTCTCCCCCTCTCCCTCTCTGTTCGTAGCCACCATTTACGCTCCCCGGAGGAAAGGGCAGCTGTCTGCTGACATCTGTATGGAAACAATAGGGGAGGAAATCTCAGAGTTGCGTCAAATGAAGAAAGGAGTTTTTCAGCGAGTGGTTGCCATTTTCATCCACTATTGTGATGTCAATGGAGAGCCAGTAGAGGACGACTACATATGATTGGGTGGAGTGTGCCCCACCAGCCACTGGTCACTCCCACTTTCCAGCTGTTCCTCTGGCAGAAAACAAGAGGATATGTTGGGCTGCCTTAGTGCACTTCTATGTCTCAGGGCCAGGTCCTCGAAGGGGGTGGGGGATACTGGCTTGATTGGGTGTAGAGTATGTAGTAAATGTATAAGGAGCATTAACAGTGTGTACAAAGATTTGTACATAGCAGAAATATGGGGGGGGGGGAAGCTTCTTGGAGCTCAGACTTTATATCATATGTTTATACAATTTAATTTAAAAATCCATTTAAATGAAGGCAGGTAACACAGAAGAGTTGACACATTTGTTTTGTTTTTTTTTTTTTCTTGGCTCTTTCAGTTCCTAAGTGTCTCTTCATTTGCCAAGCCAAGACCTCGGTTGCTACATTCAGAAAAATCACTGGCGTCTCCTTAAATCTGTGCCTTTTTCTTCTTGAGCGAGTCTGTTTGAGTAAATCTGTTGAGCAGTTTGTGTGTCTCGAGTGCATTAAAAAAAAAAAATCAGAGTGCTGTAGCATAGGAGAGCACGATTGGAGAGGGTGGAATAAGATTTTCTGTACGAGACTGTACTTTCTATTTTTTTTAAAAGCATTACAGTTTCCACATTTCTTAAAATCAAATAAATAAAAAAAGGCTTATGGACTGCAATTCCCTGAGTTTGAAAACCTGAATTCCAAAGCATTTTCTAGTTATTTATTTCCACATTTGATTGTGTATTTGTTTTATCTTGGAATATGAAAATAAAACTTTATTACAAACTGGGGTTTTTGGTTTATGTTGAGGTTTTTGTTTTTTGCCTTGAACCCAGAGCCCCGTTTTCCAGAGAACAGCAGGCAACATTGCATGGAGATAGAGTGATTGCATAAAGACTGACATGTTTAGTTGGGTATTTACTGCAAAACTTGGGGAAAGGGAAAAAATATATTTTGCTCATCAGGTTTGTGGCATGCCACAGCAAATCAGTTGAAGGAACTGGGCATATTTAGCCTGGAGAAGAAAAGACTTAAGCTGAAACTTGCTGACCATCTTCACATACTTGAATGGCCTTCTGGTGAAATAGGGATTTGGACTTGCATTGCCTGACTCCAGAGGACAGAATTGGTAACAATGGGTAGAAGGTACAGAGACACAGATTTTGACCCATTCTAAGGAAAAACTTTGTAACAATTGGAACTATTTCAAAGTGGAAGTGGCTGCCTCAGGAGACCCGGAGTTCCTGGTCAGTCCAAGTCTTTGTGTAGAACCAAGAGGGTCACTTGTTGGGATAGCTGTCACTTCCCTTTTCTCAATGTGTGGGAATGGTATTATTTCCATCTTACAGATGGGGGACACACATTCAGAAAAGTGAAGTGACTTGCCCAAGGCCATTCATGCCAGTGGCAGCAAGGACTGGAAATAAGGTGACAGCAGAGCCACCATACAAAAAACTATCTCCCTCTACAGTTACTTAGGATCGTAGAATTTAAAACTGAAAAGGACTCAGAGATTACCTAATCCAATCTCATTTGACAGGTGAGGAAGACTGAGGCCTAGAGTGGTGGTCGTTTACCTAATGTCACAGAAAGTGCTTCATCTTTCTGGACCACAGTCTTCTCATGTATAAAATTGGGGGTAAGACTTGGTGCTCCTTGCCTCTACAAGATGTTGTAAGGAAAATGCTTTGTAAACTCCAAAGGGCTACAAAGCCCTGAGCTGTCGTTCACAAGTGTGGCAAGTGATGCCCATGGGAGAGGGATGTGATTAATATCTTCAAACATCTGAAGGGCTTTTCTAAGAGAGGGATCACACTAAGGAGTAGGATAAACGGGGAGATATGACAAGGAGACAGATTTGGACTTATGTCATAATAACTTTCCAAGAGAAGCATCATGCTATGGAAGGAATAGTACAGAGCCTAGAGTTGAGACCTAGGTTTAAAGTCTTGGTTCAGATGTTAGTGGCATGAGTAAGTCACTTCTCTGAGCCTCAGTTTTCCCACCTGTAGAATGAGAATGCTAATACACCATTCAACTCATGGAGTTGTTTGGAAAGTACTCTTTAGACCAGTCCTGCACAACCTGTGGTCCACAGGTCTCTTCACACCGAAGGATTCCTCTGTGTTTTTCACAGGCCGCCCAGAATCCTTTGGTGGGCTGCAAATTGTGGAGGCTTGCTTTAGCCATTTGGAGATCTGTAGAAATGGGGATTATTAACAGAGCTATTTGACAGTGACATACTCCCAAGGATGCAGTCTTGTAGAGGGAGGTAAGACAAAAGTGATGAGGCAAATGGTAAGTGGTGCCTTAAGACTGGTAAAAGTGCTGTGGGCATTCAGGAAGAAGAGCTTATTTCTGTGTGAGAGGGCTTAGAGAAGCCTTCTTGGAAGAGGTGGCCTTGAAGTGAGGTTTTCAGAAGGGCCAAGATTTCACTAGGCAGAGTTGCAGGGAAGGCTCTTCTAGGCATAGGGGAAGGACATAAGCAAAGGTAGGAACGCTGGAAAACATTGAAGATGGATAGAGGACTGCTTGCAGTTTAGTTTGGCTGAAGCACAGAGCACATGAGTCAAACTGGAATAACTCGCATTTATATAGTTCTGAAGGTTTGCCAAGTTCCCTCCTAACAGCCCCTGAGGTAAGTAGTACAGGAATGAACCAACTCCTTTGGAGGTGCAATGATTTGTCACAAAATTTGCAACATTTGCAATTGATTTGCAGTGATCAGTCACAAAACCGTAAGTGTGGGAAATGGGGCTTAAGATTCAGGTCTTCAGCCTCTGAAACTAGTGACTTCTGTATTACGTCACACTGCTTCTTCTAGGAAAAAGTGTGATTTGCTGCATCTGTGTCGTGTTGATTCATCCAGCACCAGACCAACGTGCCGGTTGAGGCAGAAATAAATTTTCTGAGCTGTGCTCAGCTCAGTCACTAGAGGGCACTGCTTTCTGATTTTTAGAGGCATTTACAACCCTGAGCCTATTGCATATTCCACTTTTCCAGCAGCCCATCTGTACAAAAATCACATAATGGCCGAGCCAGAACCTTAGAGAATAGAACACAATGTCAGGATAAGAAAGGACCTCGGTGACAGTCTCAGGGTACTGGATTGAGTGTCGTGCTTGAGCTCAAGAGGAGAACTTGGGTTCAAATCCTACTTGCGTCTTCATATGACACTGGGACATCTCAGCCTTGTTTTTCTGCTCTTAAAAGGGGAGGGAGGAATAATACCAGCTACATTACAGGGTTGTGATGATCAAATTAGAGTGTGTCAAATGCTTTGCAAATTCTTACCTGGGGTGGGGAGCCTCCAGCCTCCAGGCTCTACTCTAAGCTTCAGATCAGGATGAGTTGCTACCATGTATTATTATTTTGGCTACCCTCCCACCCCCACCCCCACACTCAATTTAAAGAGAAGTTCCCAGAGATGGGAAGTGACTTGCCAAAGGTCACACAGCAAATCAGTAGGAAAGCTTGGAGCTAGAACACAAGTGTTCAGGTATTTTCCCCCAGACAATGTCGTGCATTACAAATGCAAAGGAATGGTAACTGCCCAGGTGAGCTCCTTGTTCTCATTTAGAACGGGGGTGGGGAGAGGGCAGAAGAGGAGGGGCACAATTCAGGGAATCAAAACTCAATTTACACAGGATTTCCATGTGACCTTTATTTTAACTTCAAATTATAGACCAGGTGTTCACCCCGTTGTGACGTTAAGGGAATGGAGCAACTTTCTTTGCATCTGAAGAGGTGCGTTCCAGTTCTGCCTCAACCTCTGCAGTGGATGACCCTGGGCTCACCTGCAAAATGGACGTCATGATAATACCCTATGCATGTCACAGGTTTGTGAGGAAAGCACATTTTGTAAACTATAAAGTACTGGAGAAATGGGAGTGATAACAGAGGTTCATCTCTTTTTTTTTGGGGGGGGAGGCAATCGGGGTTAAGTAACTTGCCCAGGGTCACACAGCTACTAAGTGTGTGAGCCTAGATTTGAACTCAGGTCCTCTTGATTCCAGGGCTGGTTTTCTGTCCACTGTGCCACCTAGCTACCCGGGGTTCATCTCTTTATGGGTGCATCACCTCAGTGTAAGGGTTTTATCCAGAGTCACAAGTGAAGGAATAAAAAATAAACAGGAAACTCAACATTCTGATCCTTAGAGCCATGTCTGGAAAAGAGAGTCACAGATCCTGTCCCAAACACAATCTTTATTTCACACTGTCCAGTGTCCAATAGTACAGTGACCTTTTTCTTATCTGAAGACAATATGAACTCCAATTTTATCACATCAACAGAAAGAATACAATTTCCTCTTCCCTCTCCCTCCCTCCCTCCCCTCACCTAATTCCCAAAGCTTTAAAGCAGTTTGATGGAGCAGAATGGATGTGTGAACACCACAGCATGTGGAAGACAGGATGGCAGGGGAAGTGGGAGCATCTTAATTGAGAAACTTTGACTTGGAGACTGCGATTTGTCACGGCTTCCCACTCCTGTATGCCTCTTTCCTAAGGTTAGGAGGCCAGGTAAGAACCCAGTTGCTCCAATTCAGAGAGCTCCAGACTGGTTCTGACCATGGTTTTCATTACAGTCTTCCAACTTTGGGGCCTCCTGTGTGGAGACTTGCAGCTAGCAGCTCATGGCACTCAGCAAAGACCCCCAGGGAACACTTCTACACATCATGACGACACAGGGTGAGACTGGGTGTGAGACACTGAGGCCTCAGCTGAGGTACTGCACTGTGCCTTCCAAACTTGACTTGTCCTTTCTCTCACCAATAAGTGCAGACCAATTTTATCCCTGTATATCAGCCCCGCTCCTGTTAATCTGCTATTAAGTATTCTAGTGAAATTGTTAATACCATTATCTTTTACTTGATTCAGCTATTATGGTCTCAGTGCCAGCTCCAGCATAATTTTCTATGAACAACTGTACTGTTTTCAGTCTTCACCTTCCCAACACTTCATTTCCTTTGATACTAATATGGTATCAGTCACAAAGGTTCAGTGCTGGGAGGGACCTTATATATCACCTAGACCAACCTTCTCATAGTATAGATAAGGAAAATGAAACAGATGGAAAGCCATTTGCCCAAGATCACACAGCTAGTTAGTGTCACAGCTAGGACAAAACCAAGTAGTGTAATAGGTTTGACAAGTCCAGGTCCAAGACCAATTTTCTGGTCAGCCTATAGATTAAAAAAAAAATGGAAAAAGAGGCACAAAAATTCACTGAAGAAAAAGACTCCTTAAAAAGGAGAGTTGGCCAAATGGAAAAGGAAGCACAAAAACTCACTGAAGAAAATAATTTAAAAATTAGAATTGAGCGAATAAAAGCTAATGACTTTATGAGAAATCAAGAAACAATAAAACAAAACCACATCTATTCCAGTCACCCTCTCTGAGAGGTTCATCCTGCAACTCTGAGGAACAAGGTATGTGGGGGACAGAGGGGAGAGATTAGATGTGGTGTGTCAAGAAGACTGCTGATTACTAGTCCAGATCCGGAACACTGGGTTTAATCTGGAAAGCTGTGTTCCTCAGAACCTTCCTCAAACAGCCTACTGGCCCTCCCTCTATAGCCTCCTGTTTTCTTCACTTGTGGCAAAAGCAGCTAGCTTATTCAGAAGGAAGCAATGTCTATACCCAGCCCCTAGCTCTCTTCCTCTGCCATTTCATCTAATTATTGGCATTACTACTGGCCTGGATCACCATGACCTTTCAAAATGACAAGGACTTGGGTTGGCAGCCATAAGCATTTGTCATGAGCGATGGTGGGGATTTGGCTCTTTCCCAC